TTACTCGAACAAGGGTTACCCATTGTGCGGCAGATTTTGACACTGAAACAGCCTGCTCTGAAGGCATGGGGTTGAGACAAGGAAGCACAGTTTTATTCGGTGGTGCAGGGGCTTTTGCTGTTTCAGTCCAGTGCGTTGGAGTTCTTGTGGTTCTGTTTGGAATCTGGGAAGCTAAAGCACAAAGTGAATTTGAAACTTCATCTGTATATTTGTGGAAGACTGGTAAGTAAGAAGTGCTACAGTAATATATTTCGGCGCATCTACTTCCAGTAGCAAATGTTAATATTTTAATCCCAGGTTCTCAAACTAGAATTTTAAATCTTTACAATTTATTGACTGCTTTCAAGGGCAATAAATGAGGTAATGTTCCAGAATGCTGTTATCTAAGGTACTATGACCTATAAAAAAAACAGCCCCAAACAGTGAATTTTGCTCTGTGTGTGCGTGCATGCACGTGCCTGCGTGTGTGTATTAATAGGTCTATATTGTATGAATAGAATAGATCAGGTCATAACCTCCCATTTATATTGTAGGTAAAAACTGTTATAAAAGAAACCAGCAGTGCCAATGGGGTTCTGAAAACATAAATGCTTCACAAAGAAAGATGTAGTTCAGCATGTGTATTCTTGTATGTTCTGTAATGACATATAATATATTCAGTGTGGTAATGGATGAGGAGTTGGGTTTATTAAATTTAGGTTTCTTGCACAGTATATAGGACACGTGAAAGCTAAAGATGGATTAGGTGAAATAATCCAAGTGATGCCAGACCTCCTAGTCAAAGAGGGGAAAGCAAATAGGCTATGTGGATTCAGCATCACACCAGACAGATTATTTCCTCTGCTCTGTCACTAATGAGTTACGTGTCTGTTTTAAGGATTGCATAGTCATAGCTCTTCTCATTCTCAACTTTTTATTAAATTGGTATTTTTGTTAGTACACTGTACAAATTGCCAACACAATTACATATTAGCAATATATTGGTACTTCTTAGCACTTTAACATATGTCCTATTCTAAAGATTTCATTTAGCAAACATAAGAGTGAAGCATCTGAAGCCAATAAATATTTTAGGGAATTGTTCTTTTTTGTATATTGTCAGGAACAAACCACATACAAAGTGGCATGATTCTTTCCAAAATGCTTTCTCATGAATAGGATAATATAGGAGCCAGAGAAAGTGTAAATTAATCATTTGATCAAAAAACGAGTCTGAGGAGACTGGGTCCTTCTCCTGCATGAAGAATGCCCCTCAATTTCTGCCACAGAGATAGAAATTATCAATTTACAATTACACTGATATCCTGAATTTTTTTAACAGGCTGCATCTATCCAGCAGCTCAAGGAGGAGATTAAAGGGACATTCTTCATTTAAACTAGTAGACAAGCTTCCCAATACTACTAGAAAGAGATTTTGAGGGGAAAAAATTCTTTACAACTGTCACTTGGTATTGAAGATTGATGGAATAATGATAGTAGTATGAACTTAACTGACTCTGTGTAATTTTTTTCAAGCTAACTAATGGCAAATTCAAAAGAGCTTTTCTAATCACAAGATTTTTTTAAGTGGCCCAAAAATAGACATGTCTAGTTTTTTTTTTCTTTGCAAAACCACAATGACAATTTCAGAGCTTTTTTTTATAAAGCATTTCACATTTAATTAAACTAATTGAAAACCATCAGCAGAATAAACTGTCTAGCATTTTATTACCCCTCCATTTAGTAATTTAATGGCTGGTATTTAAAACTGGTGAAAAACGGCAATATAGACTGAGAATAGTAACAACTGTAGTTAACAAATTGAAATGATTTTATAATGGCAAAGAGCTATTTATTGCAATTATAGAAAAAATAACTCCATTGATTATGTACATAATGTATTAGCCTTCCTAGTGCCTCACTTTTTTTTTTTCCTGGAAAGGCAATTTTTAAAACTACAAGGACTCCAGATCTAAGTAAGTTAAAGTAGGCATGCTCTCACATGAAACTGGACTAGCTCTTACATTTTGATCTTTTAGAGTCTCTCAGTTCAGGATGACGACTAAAATAAATGCTTGTAGCTTTAATGTTCATAACATAAAAGCAGCAATTTAACACTAGAATAAGATCTCAAAATCAGGAGCTTATAACAGTGGTTAATTCCAAGCAATTGGAAGCGTCATTTAGTGGACAAGATCATGGGACTGGGTACCAGTAAACTTGAATTATTTTTGCATTGATTTAGGCTAGGGACAGAAGTTGCACACAAACTGGTATTACTGATCAGAAACCGGTTCAAATTTCTAACACAACAGAAGTTCAGTGCACATAAACCACTGTCAAAATGACCAAAGCCAGCTGAAGATAAACCTGGATGGATGTCGTATCAGACTTAACTGATTTAGGTTAGTTTTTTTTAAACTTCTGTCCCAGATCCCATCCAGATTTAAGTTAACTGAGTCCCTGTAGCAGGGCATTAGGGTGCCTGCTACTGATGACAGTAAAATGGGCTCAGCTGCCACTCACCAGGGCAGCA